TTAACGTCACAAGTTTCCAGGGTTAGCTTTATAATTTTGTTCGCCCACATAGTGTAGTGATTAACGTGATATTGTTATTATAAAATAATGAATGAATTACTGTAAAATATTTTTAGTAATTATTTACTTTATGTGAGTCTTAAATTTTTATGAAATTTTACCAATTCCCGTCATTTCGAGATAGCTGAAAATTAATTAAATATTTTTTTCAATTAAAAAAATCTCGAACAAAACTAATTTCAGATTCAGTATTCGTACAGTCAATTAATTTGTATTAAAGATCGCGGTTGTTTGACGTATCCATCTCGAGATGTCGTAGTATGCTAAGAAAAATTAATAAAATTATTAAATAATGGTGAAAGCAGAACGCCTAGGTGTTCTACAGAAAAATAAAATTGTTTATCATGTATTAAAAAACTTTCTGAATGTGAACATATTTGAAAATTTGCATGAACATCAATTTGATAATTCGCCTAACAATTGTAATCAGTTAATAGAACTTATAAGGGCTGAATGTGAAAAGTATATCGATGTACAAATAAATCATGAAGTCAAATTATTTAATTCCGTAAAATCTACGAAAAGGCAAATATTAAATAAATTAATATTATTTAGAGGACAATAAATATATTTAAATTATTTTGTAGTTTTATCAAATATGACACTAAAATATACTATTTTCTGAATTACAAACTTAAAATTGAATATTTTGTCATAAGATGGAATATAACATTTAATATGTAATAAAAATATTACTTAATCCGGATCTGCTTAAAGATACGCGCGATCAGATTGCCTTCCACACTTCACTTCCCCGGATTTTGCATTCACTGGTACCCGTGCATTGGAATTAGATACGGCCAGTCTAGGTGATCTGTGATTGGAGCCATACAATGGAACTATAATAATAGTAAAGTACGCCAGTAGTTCAGTAATCTGTGAGTACGCCTAAACAACTACAGAGCTCCTCTCAAGTGAACCGGTTGGATCACTTGTCAATTAGGGCTGCGTTCAGCGAATGGTCGGACCCATGGAGACTACACAAGAAGACGAACTTCTTGTAAACAAATATGTTACCCAATTAGAGGGCGCTAGTATCCCATATGCGCCGAAATAGTGGAGGCGAGATAAAGAAAAAAACAGTTTAAATTAAAAATCAATCATGCCATTTTTGTGGTGCTTAAAATTTTAAAATAAATATAGGCTATTTTGAATTAGATAAGGAAAACTAGCGACCCCAGTTGTAGAAACTATAAGTAATTTCAACTATTAAATTGACAAATTTTGTCAATTTTGCCTTTCGAGCATATACTACTGGATGTAGCATGCCATTGCCAAAAGTGTAACTGAGTGTGCTAGAGAGACAGACAGTATCTCAGTATATCGCATCCAGGCTCATACAGAAGTAACTCGGGCGGTAAATTTAAATTGCTTAGAATTTTTCTAAAAATATTTTTCTTATTGTCTGAAAACAATTAAATTTTAGAGGAAAATAAGTATGCAAATAGTCTCGTGTACAGGATACTCACAAATTAGCAATTCATGTTGACATGTTACAATTTATTTTGTAAATTCATGTCAGAGTAAAAGATTACATGGCAGTTAATAACTACAAGATCTTTTTCTAACTGAAAAATTATTTCAAGTTAAAAGAAATAAAATTGTATTTACTAACAAAATTTTGTAATAAAGCATTAAAGCGTAAACTAAAAGTAAAAAACATTGAAATTGAAAATACATATTTAAATGAATTTTTTATCGTTTGATTTATTAAAAGTAATTCTAATACAAAATAAGTTACATATCATCTGTGTCAGATTCCGAGTCTGCTTCCATCGCTTGTTTCGCCGCCTTTTCGGCTTCAGCAAAAACGGAATCTGGAACTTTCACATGGTAACCATTGCTTTCTTTGCACACCCATGACAATTCCAGCTCAAAATTTTTATCTTTCAGTTCATCGTGGACCAAGTATATTCTAAAAAATTTAATTCTTTGAACAAAGAAAATCTTATCATATATCAGCTACTACTTTGGAATTAAAAATAAATTTGATTTTAAATAATGTTTACACCACAAGTAAATGAGTACCCATATCTTCCGTTTTGGAAACACAAAAAAAAAAATTAACCTTCGTGTTTTTTTCACCTACATATTTCTAAAAATAGCAGCATGAATTACATACTTACATTTTTGCAGCTTCTTTGACAATATCTCTACAAGACATATTTCCTAATTTTAGTTTTTCAATTTCTGTTTTAGCAGATTGCTTTGCCTTACCGGTGGCACATCCATGATAACCCTAGAACAAAATTAATTCAGATTGATTGATTAATGCATGATGTATCAGAAGCTGTGAATGATAAATCTTAATATGAAATATGAATGAAGTTATTCACCTATTGCTTGGTACAAAACTGACCATTTAACATTATTACTCTAAAAATACTACAAATAATACCATTTTCAGACTATAGATGCACTGAATTAAGTTTCAGATAGGAGCATGTTAAAAAGAACTCATTTAAGATAGACACAAAGACAAAGATTGGTAGACAATGGCGAGATTAAAAAAATGAAATGAAAATTAAAATCTAAAAAATTTAGTTTACAATTCAATAATGAATCAATTTATTACTTACATAACTCACACCTGATGGATCAATTAAATACATTACTGGCTCGCTTTCTTCATAGCTAGCAAGTATAACACTACACCCATAAGGTCTAACTGCACTATATAGGGTATATGCATGCATATACATGCTAACACGGTCATTTAAATATTTCAATGGTATGCTGACACCATACTGCATTCTGTAATTTGAAGCTTCCTTTCTTGCTATTTCTACTATCTGACGTGCATCGGCTATTAAACCAGAGAAAGCCTAAATAAAACAAAGTATCATTAAGCACTTATAGTGTTTTACATTGACAATTTATTGATGAATAAATTGACGAAGTTCTTCATGAATTAATTCACGAATTTATTGGTAAACAGTGTGGTTTTACACTGCTACAGACTTTGTCAAATTTTTTGATGCATGAATCAGTTCTACCAACGAATCAAAGAAATAAATAAATTTCAAAAATGTCACCTTTCTACTCATAATTGTAGTGACAACAGCGGTACCATTTTGATACATATAAATATTAGTGTTTGTAAGTAACAAATCAGTAAAAACAATGCAAAACTAGTACGATTGCCACATAATTATTTACATATTCCAATAACATAACCTCATTACTGATCTGAGGCTGGAAATCTGTTGGGTTGGTACTTCCGAACTTCATGAAGAAATTGATGAAAATTAGAACATGCTCTAATTCGTCAAGAACTTGATGAATAAATTCATGAAGTTATTTGACAGCAGATTTGGTGCATTACACTTGTCCAATTTCATGATGAAGCGACTTCATGAATTAATTGATCAATAGATTGTCAATGTAAAACATCTATTATACAATAAAAATATGCATATATGTATAATAAAATGTTAATCATATATAAAGCCTTAATATTTTCAATACCATTCCAATATGTTTGTCGATATTAAAAATTCTTCTATTAGTTCCGGGTTCATGTAGTTTGGACAGTATAAGTTTTTCTGCAGCAAGTACAATGCCATCAGTACCTTTCAAACCTATAACAGTGCCACTGTTTTCTACTGCCTTCATAGCATATTCCACTTGAAACACTCGGCCATCCGGAGAAAATTGGGAAGCCGATAAATCATACTAAAAATATATGTATATTTTCAGAAGTGTTTTCAGGATAACATAAACTTTACTTACGCCAGTTCCAATAGAGCTCATGTTTTAAAGCCTGAAAACTTGGTAATAACTGAAAATTACGTCTGTATAAAGTGAATAAAAAATTTCTATAAGTTCAGCGTGAATTAACACTTTTCTTTTTAAATGACAACAATCCGTCAAATCACGTCAAATCATCAGTCGACGTTTGCTGACAAATGTCAAATTACAAAAAAAATAAACTCCAAGAGGAACGTTCAGAATTTTCGAATATTATTATTAGGACTGGAAAATTTAAAATTATGTTTAATATGGTATATTTAATAAAGAGTATGAATATTTAGGTACTGTACAATGTACATATAACTTAACCTGACCTAATATATCCTGACTTGCATCAATCGTGTTTTCCATATTTTATATGCATACGTTAAATTTACAATGTCGAGTCTTGTATAGGCGGAGTTCAATTTGAAAAAAAATTGCTGATGCAAGCAGGACGTCAAACATAATTTTAGACATATTGTAATTTTGATAATTTGTGCTTCTTGTTACTTGTTCTTATCTATACTTCCTGTTGATAGAAACCATCGTCTGCTAACTCATGCCGACGTAAGTTAAAATGTTTATGATAAAATAAGTAGCTTTCAATTACCGCGCGCCATTATTCCATGGCTAGAAATTGGCCTCAATGATTTGGGATCGAGGGGGATTATCCCTCTTTATCCTGCCTCATCTCGTGTAGGCCTGGACAGCCTTCGTAGGTGGGCCCCATCCGTCGTCTACCCCGACCGCAAATGCGGCCGGTGTAGGCGCTTTGTGGGACCTCCTTTTGTCCTGGCTGGGCCCCGCCGGCTAGGGCCCTTTCTTCTGGCGCTCTTCTTGCTTCGCCGGCTCGTCTGTGTAAACCCCGGGGGTAGTGTCATGTTTATGTGTGGTATGGTTGGGTAGGGTAGTGCGGCTATGCAGCCTGGGATGCGCTTTGCTAAGG